TCCCTCCCCTGAGGATTGTATAAACATTTCCAGAAGGATGCAGATATGGGGGGCGAAAAAAAGACCTTATGTAAATACTAGATGGCTAGGAACCAGGAGATATTATTAGTTTATGAGGGCTTTAAAAATCCCCAAAAGCTCAACTAAAGGAAAGTAAAAATTTGCTTTCATTTTAACCTTTGTTATTGCTGCTAGGGTCAGTAATATGAGAGAAGCAGGCATCTCAGGAGACACATGATACCATAAAGATCACAGAGGGGCAGAGAGGGAAATTGCAAAAATCTGACTGTGGTGACCTTACTGGCCAGTAAGTGAGGAGTGGGAAGGCAGTGGGGGTGGGGGGGAGGGCTCTGAGGGGGTGGGGTGGGGAGCTCTCTTTTCTATAAACTAAGGAAGGCCCAAGAGTGATATGGATCAGACAGTGCCCCTCCACCCCCACCCCTGACTGTGCCTGAAAGGGTCTTACCCTGCTCTCCAGCTTCTTCTCCATACTTTTCCCACTGCTTGGAGTTCCTAGGGGCACAGCAAACTCTTCCCACAGCAGGGATCTCTCAATGCTGTTCCTTCGGTATGGAAAGTTTTCCCAGGCACTTGGCTGAGCTGACTCCTCCTTATCTCTTCAGGTTTTAGCTTAAATATTACCTCCTCAGAGAGGCCTTCTCTGGCCAACCATTTAGTGGGAGTGACCCAAGTCATTCGTTTGAAAAGGAGTTTTAAAGAGCCATATTGTATTGGATTTCAGATTCGTTAGCTTTCATTATGGTGAGTGTTGTTGACTCTAAGAGCATTGTATTTAATTACTGCAAATCCCATAACATCAGTAATAAAGAGCTGTGTTTTGCAAATACGAACTCAAGTAACACAAATATTACACCTTTACTGTCTAATAATTTTCCATCAGAGCTACCTGTTTGCCGCCTTCACCACATTTATGTAACCAGTCTTTATTTGATGTGTGTGGCTATTTGCTGGTGGTCCCCTTCATTGGAGTGTAAGATCCAAGAGTTTACGGAATCAGGAAGTGCTCAAAAACATTTCCTGAGTAAATGGGTGAACCCAGTTTCCTTTGGTGGGGGGGGGAACAGAGCCCTAGGACAAATTTGCTTTGTTGAGACTCCCATTCATGTGTGTTGTCGGGGGGGGGGGGGAGTTCATAAGAAAGCTTCTCCCCGCCTCCTCCCTTGGGAACTTGTACTCCCTAGAATGGAACTCAACCTCCTTTAGCTTTCCCTGGCCAAAGTCTAGTTTGTTTTGGGCGCCTGGGTGGCTCAGTGGGTTAAGCCTCTGCCTTTGACTTGGGTCATGATCTCAGGGTCCTGGGTTCGAGTCCTGCATTGGGCTCTCTGCTCAGCAGGGAGCCTGCTTCCCCCTCTATCTCTGCCTGTCTCTCTGCCTACTTGTGATCTCTGTCAAATGAATAAATAAAATCTTTAAAAAAAAAAAAGGTCTAGTTTGTTTCAAATCCAAAAACCCATGAGGCCTGGCAACTTTTCCTTTCTCCCGGACCACAGGTTCTTAAACTTGAAAGAATACCAGAAGCCCCGGGAAGCCTGGTTAAAACACAGATCACTAGGCCCTCCTCCCAGAGTTTTTGATTCAGTAGATATGGAGCAGAGCCCAAGAATGTACACCTCAGACAAGTTCCCAAGTGATGCTAAACCACTGGTCCCGGGAGCACACTTCGAGAAGCACCGCCACAGACCTTAGAATCACCATAGATATTGACAGGCACATGTTTGCACAGGAAGGAAGCAGCGAAGAGCCAGAAGTTGCAGGATATTGGCGGCGTCTTGGGAGGAAGAGGGTTTACAAGGATGACGGTCTCAGAAATCTGTCGGCAAGTCTTTGAGTTAAAGTAGCCCCCTTGGTCAGGTAGCCCAACCCCCACCCCCACCCTATTTTCATTTTATAAGAAGCCAGCCAACCAATCAACCTACTAACTCCGTAAGAAAGGTTAAGAAACATTGTCCCAGGAGAATGACCAACCATCCTGGTTTGGCCGGGCTGGAGGGGTTTCCAGGGATTTTCAGAGCGAACACCCAAGAAAGTCTGGGGGCAAACTGGGATGGTCACCCTAAACCCAAGACTCTCTGCCTCCAACAAAAAACATGCAGATACATATCTCTGGTATAATGTTTATTTAAATAGCAATCTTAAAAAGACTTTATACAAATCATATAAACACAGTTTGACCTTGTTGTTTATTTTTTACATTGAAGAATCACAGTAAAAGCTCTCAAGTTCCCGCGATCTGGCTCAGCCAGCGAATGGTCGAATACCTTTAACTGCAAACCCTGGAAAAGTTAATCTTCCGTGTGACCGTTTAACTTTCCCCCTTGCTTTCTTGCATTCATGCTCACTCCTCGGACCCTCATCCCTGTCAACGACCCATCCCCACCGAAGAGAGAAAGCAACCCCGTGGCCTTGTGGACTGCCTAGTCTGGGAGAGCGTGGAGGTAATGTGTCATTCGGTACAAGGCAAAAAAGGAGATCAATACTGTGAGTTGGGTTTTCCAAAGGGAATGACTCAAGGGGACGGGTCAGCTAGCCTACCTGCAGAGAGAGACAGCAAATGCACCAGGGCACCCCCTGGCTGAGTTAGGACCAGACCCCACTGTCGTTCTGTCTTACAACGGACCAGCCTCCAGTGTTGGTGAGGTAACTACATGTAGCCCTGGGTGGCTTGCTTTTGTGTAGCAGGGCCTACCCAGGGCCCCAAACAAGCCAATGGTGAGAATGGATGGAGGACCGTCAGGGGGATGTAGGTTGGCTTGTGCGTAACTTAGAGGCCAACTGCAGGCTGAAGACAGGGCTGGTCTTTGGGGGCACTGTATAAGGACCCACAGAGCATGAGAGGGCCAGGATCCCCAAGGTAGGCTTTTGAACTTCTCTTCTTCTGCAGGCAACTTCTGGAAATCCCTAGGACTTGCTAGCTTCCTGAACACTGAGCTACGTGGGAAGGCGAAGAGGAAGGTGGGCTAATAAAAAACTTGCTTTCGACAAAGCGTTAAGAACTGGTTTCTGCTGCATGCCCAGCTTGGGGGGGTCCTAGAGCTAAGCCTGTGGGCTTGACAGCTTTACTTTTCACTCTAACTACCACTGTGCCAACGAGTGCCAAGATCAGCAGTTACACTCGGGCCCTAGGTCAAAGTCACAACAACATCACGGAGTCCTACGTGACCATTCACATACACAGTAGATACAGAGAACTCAAAGGCTTGCAAAGACACACAGACATATGAATAAATAGCTGTTGGTTCGGACTCTCCCTCTCCGCAAACAAAACACTGTGACGATACCATTTGAACTAGCATTTCCATACGTTAACATTGAAGGAACCCGCCAGTCCCATTCACCCTTTTCCTTTCACCTGGGTATGAGACAAATGAAATCGTGGGTGACCATAGCAGCAAAAATGGTCTGACCGTTTACCACTGATAAGCAATGGGCTGGGCATACTGGCTGGGTTTCAAATGTATTTCCAGCACACAGGCGATCTTTAGGCATGACTACAAAATCGAGATTTGGATCTTGGCGCGGACAATCTTATCCTTCACAGTTTGATGCCTCCCCTCCTAGAGTAGATGAGAGTCATCGAGGGCCATGACTACCTCTCAGGCAGCAGGGCTCAATCCATTCGTAGGATCAGCAGTGAGCCGGGGGAACTGGCAGTGGAGTCACGGGGGTTCAGGAAGAAGGAATGCCTTACTTTTATGATATTCACTGATTTCTACATAGAGGGAAAATACAGGTTTTTTTTCATTGTTTCAAGGCACTTAATAAAAAACACATAAATTGTGTGTGTGTGTGTATGTACGTGTGTGTGTGTGTAAGAATACAGGTCTCTCTGGGGTAGAAGCCGTATTGTTAGTGTTTTGGTCCATAGTACTTGCGCATTTCTGGTTCAGATCAGCTCGCATACATCCTACCTGACTCTCCTGAAACACTGACGTGGGGCTGTAACCCTGAGGAGAACTCAGTGTTTACTAGCCTATCAAAGAGACGAATTCATCCAAATGCCTCCATAGAGTCTATTTAGGCTTTGCCATGACACCATCACAGAGGCTGGACTCCTTTTTCCCTCTCCACTGTTCTCCTTTCCGTCTAGTGCTCACCAGTGACATCTCACCAGTGGAGAAAACATACTAACAGCCCGTGTTTGCCCTCACCCTCCCCTCCATCTCTGAGGACAGAGACCAATGCTACGCCTTGGGGAGTAGACACCTGACGAATGTGTGCGTGTGCGCGTGTATGTGTGTGTATACGTGTATGTTTTCGAAGAACAAGGAGGAGGCAAAAGAAAAACGCAAAACCACCACCAGAGGCCCCTCGAAGTAGCCTCACAGCCACAAATTCTGGGTCTAGATTTAATGAATGGCTCCTAGTCACGAAGCACGTTAAGGCTTGTCCGCTTCTAACATGGAGATGCTTCTGTGGATTTTGACGTGTGAAGTTTCCTTTCCGGTTTGTTTTAAATCCCATATAAGAAAGAGCTATTCACGCTGACCCTAAAATGGCAATTTTCCCCTGGATAAAAAAAGTTAAAGGCAACAACATCCTACTTAAATGCTAGGACTGGAAATGGCAGCTTGTAGGGTTGGCTGGCAGGACCTACACCACAGCAAATCCCGGAAGTCATAAGACGATCAGAGGACAGGATAAGTTGGACGGCTTTTTTTTTTTTTTTGCCCCTAAAGATGAAAAGTCTGAAAAGACCTTTTGCTTTTCAAGTGCTGATTAGAACGAGAGAGCAGAGTACCACTGAGCACTGCTCTGCTTCCATCCTAGAAAAGTCCTTCTCCTCTTCTGCCTCTTGGAGTTGCTCACAGACCAAAGAAATAAAATATAATAATCATAACAAACTCACAAACGAAATACAACTGTGACCCCAAAGAGATGAGCTCCCATCTTAATCCCAGCAACGACCCAGCCAGGGCGCTCTCAGGTGGGTCCTGGCCCCCCGGCGCGGCCGTAATCTCCCCGCCCCCGTCGACTCGTCTGTCCATTCTGTCCACACCTTCGGTATTCTGGATCGGTTTGATCGAGATTATGGCATTCAGTTTCCAAAGGACAAAAAAAATGTAATCTCCGCTAGCCCCTCTTGCTGGAATGAAACGTCAGATGTGATTTGGGTGCAATCCGTCACGCTTCGGAGCAGCACTTCTGGTGGTTCATCTTGACCTTGTGCTTGAGGCCGTCGTAGAGCTCGAAGTTGTAGTTCTCCAGGGTGGTGCAGCTGCGGGAGCTGAGCCCGGAGTAGGAGCAGGTGCAGTAGAGCAGAAGCCCCGCACACGTGGCCCCCAGGAGGACGCCCAGGGAGCTCATGGCGATAATGGTGATGAGGATGGGATCCAGCGTGTAAAGCCAGCTCTTTTCTTTGTCGGCCGAAGAGGCGCCGGACCCTGAGGTCGGGGAAGAAGAGTTGCTCCAGTCCACCTCGTACTCATCTGTGACATAAAGCACACGGGACATTGTGGGAGCTGCCCCTTCAGTAACGGAGCCTCCCCAGACCCGTTCACAGGGTCTTCGGAGCACGGGGACGAGCAAGGGGACTCCAAAAACTACGCTGGCTGGTGTCAGAGCCCAGGGTCATCACATCCTGCCTGTGTAGCTTTGGGCACGTTATTTAACCCCTCTTTGCCTCCGTCCTCTCCTCTATAAACCGGGGGTACTGTTAAGTCTGCCTCACTGGGTTGCTAAGAGAATTAAATGAATTAATATCTGTAAAGTCCTTGGTGTCCAGCACATACCTAGTATGACCTAAGTATTTGATATTTAAATAATTTGACTCCTACTAGGTAAGTTCGGGATTTTGACAGAAACTTTGGAGGGGCCTTTGGAGCTCTGGGGTGGTCCTGTGTTTTGGGTACGCTTCTTTCTTTGCTCCCTCACCTCCCACTTCCACTGGCATCAAGTGAAACCGAAGGACAGGCTGAGACTATTTTTACATGTGAGTTTTCCAAGGTAGCCCTTCCCGGCCGTCCGAGCTGCAAAATTTTTCCAACCACCACACCTCACTTGGCATACACCTTACCTAACTGTTGTGGGTTGAATTATGAACCCCGAGGTTCCTAGGTTGCAGTTCTAGCCCCTAGGACCTCAGAATGTGACCTGATTTGGAGATAGGGTCTTTATAGAAATAATCAACTTAGAGTGAGCTCATTCGGGTGGACCCTAACCCCATACGGATGTGTCTGTATTAAAACGGGAAATCTGGAGACAGACACAGATGGGAGATTACCTTGAAAACACGGAGATAACCATCTACAAGCCTCACGGTCCTCAGAAGGAAGCCACCCCGCTGACACCTTGATCTGGGACTTCTAGCCTCCAGAATGGTGAGAAAATATGTTTCTGTTGTTTATGACACCCAGTTTACGGCACTTTACATGGCAGCCCTAGCAGACGAATATACTTAGGTTTCCATCACGTGGCCAATGCATGACCACATCCACAGCTCATTTTGTGGGATTTCCTAATAATCCCATGAAGAAGGCAGGGTGCTATTATAATTTTTTTTTTTTAAGTAGATGAAGAAACTCAGGGGTTTTTTTTGTGTGGTTTTTTTTTGTTTTGTTTTGTTTTGTTTTTAAAGGAATTAGGTGGCCAGGTAACTCCCTCAAGGTCCCAGAGATAGAAGGCAGTGAAACTAGGAATAGGACTCGGGCTTTCTGCATCCTTGGGCCCTGCTCTCTGTACCCATCATAGAGCCTTGGTTGTTTGACCGGCTGCAGCCTCTCCTTCCAGGCCAGTTCCCCAGCTTTGCCCATAAAAGGAGTGCTTGATGGGGTTTTGCAGGGAGAGTCTGCATTGAGTTAACAAGGTGCTATTTGGGTTAGTCACGCCGTTTCTATAACTACACTTGAAGTGTTTGATTAAGGTTGGGTTAAAAGCAGCTGTTCTATAAACTGCTCTTCTTAAAAGCATCAATCTTGGTCTAAAGCTGTTCTTTGAGGGAAACCGTGGTGATCTCTCTTGGAGATCAGCTCTGGCACTCAGAGGAGCCCAGAGAGACCCGTGCTGCTCTGAGTCGAGGGGAGAGATGATATCTACATGTTTGCTCGGCGGCCGTCCAGTTGGGGCCCTTGCTCCAGCTCCCCGAAGTATGTGCATTTGAAGTGGGAGAGTAGAGCTCCTAATAAGTATGAAAACACAGGATGGGCATTGCAGAAAGGAAACCTAAATCTTGCAGTGGGCCCTACTTGGAGTCTTGGATAGTGTGAGAAAGGCTCCCCTCAAGCCAGGGAACAGGAAACCACAGAAAGCCTAGGAGAATATTCACACGTATACTCATTTACTCAAGTCCTTTTTCGGGAAGAGGTCAACGGGTTCAAGCAGCAACACATATAGGGAAACCTGGCTTTTACTTCTACAGGGTTTATCCAGATTTGAAGTCCATCAGTGTCGAAAGTTGCCTTAAGTAGGGGACCTGTTTCAGATTAGGCAGAGGGAACTCAATAAACTTTCTAAATTTCTAAATTTGACCTTGACAAAGCAATTGATGGTTTCTTCATTCCTCTCTGGATTCTTTTCACTTACATTTCTGACTGGTAGTTCTAAATTCTGGCCTTCCAATACCCCGGGCATTACTTTTGTTGATGTCTTTATAACCAAACTTGAATTTCATGATTATCTGCTAAATCATAGCAATACTCACCATCAATTTCATCTTCATAGCCTTCTCTCCCGTGTATTTCTGGAATGTCCACTATAATGAAAAAGAAAACAAACAAATCAAGTTATAATGAGTTCTATCACCATGGCCAACAGACAGAGAAGCAACCTTTTTCAGAATGACTGTCTGTACAGTAGGCAGCTAAACAGTCACATCTGCTTCTAGACCATTGAGTATGTATATTACTGGGATTCTTTCCCCTTCAAAAGATTTGTCTTTATTTCCAACAGCAACCAGAAGAACAGAAACCAAAAAGGTCTTTAGCGCCATGAAAATCCTTACTTATGTCATTGTAATGACTGTAGTTCATTGCCAATATAGGTCTGCATTTATCCAAATGGATAAATGGATGGCATGCCCATCATCCCTGGCCATTACTGTGATGTTTATTTAGTAACTGACCCTCCTCATATGCATGCATTAAGTAGACATATACTATGAGGGGCTTTCTCTTTTGGATGTCAAATAAACGTATGGTAATTTAACAAAGTCACATTTCATCATCTTATGTTTTAATGCAGAAGTAGAACTGAAAAGAATGTCACAATGCCTAACCACCTCCACGTATCTACGCTAATCTCTCTCGTCTTTCCTCCTCCGTCTACTTTTCCCACTGGCTTTCTTTATGGCTTAGAATAGGACAAACATGGCCATCCAATCTGACTAGCCTGGGCTTGAATAGAGCTAAGTTAATTTACTGTGAATTTTCTCCAGTATTATCGCTGTCTATCTTTTCTTTTTTTATGATAATTTTTTTTGGGGGGGAAGGTGAGAAAGACAGTCCCTCTGTTCACTATGCTGTCCATCTTATAGAAATCAGAGCCAATGAAAATTACCTGTCTAAAATGGTAAAACATCAAAAAAAGAGAATTGGATATGTGCTGATTTTTCATTTCTTTCTCACTAGTTAATTATGCCTGCCCTGGCTGTCAGCTCAAAATGGCGCCAGCAAGTGTGCAGGGCATTTAGGAGTCTGACTGAACCCCAAGTCAGGTGAACAACCTTGAGGTCAGCACTATAAATTGATATCCCGAAATCTAGGCTTAAGCCAAACCAAATCCCAGACAGCTAAAACTATCAAACAAGAGGGGGAGGGGAGAAGAACTTCAGACCTGCCTAAACTTTTCCCTCGTCAGCACTTCTCAGAGAAGATCTACTTGACATTGACCTGAAATGAGGATTGATCTATCAATGCCACTCTCAAAATTCAGTCTTTTCCCTGAGGCTGTGTTTCTAATGTGTTTTTAGATAGAAGTCTTCCTCATTCCTGGCCAAAGTGCTAGAGCACATTTTGATCCCCCTGGTTGCCAGCAAGGGACACAACAAAACAACTTGCCAAGACCCCACATGAAAGGATCAACGCCATGTGGCACTGATTCGCCGTAAATCCAGCCGATTTCTGGCATGTTTATACACAGCAACTGGCACCTGCAGGTCACGCCATCTTCCCCACCTCAATGCCCATCCCCTGCATTATTCTCCAGACCTCTATGACATAGGCTGTTTCCTTGGAATGAAGATGTGAGTATGAATCAAAAACAGGCAGGTGGTGTCTGTCATACGGACCAAACCAGAGCTTGTGAAAGTCAACCTAGAGGTTTTTTTTAACCTTATGAAACAAACAAACAAACATGGACAAAACCCATCACATTTCCAACAATTAATTGTTTTGACGGGATGCTCATGTCTCAACACCTTCACGGTTAAAAGATGCAGAACACTGGATAAGAATATGGGAATCAGCCTAGCACAAAAACTGTGGGGCTCTTGCCAGTGACTTTTGGGCCAAAGCCTGTTCTTGCTTTTAGGGATTTGGTCTCTGCCAAAGAAGTGACAGATTCTTGGAGGCTAGAATGCCATTTTCCTCCATCACACACCCTCAGGGAAGAACTCTTAGGACACTATTGATCATGGCTGGAAAGGGGTGTATGTGGCATTGATCTTGAAGGAAAAAGGGTAAAAGGATGGTAATGAGTATGAGAACATTTCACCCTAGGAGATCACAGCCTCTTGTCTCTGGAGACAAGAGGACTGGATGAGATGACCTTGCAAGAACTGGTCCATTTCTAAGGTTCTCTGAAATTGATTGCCCAGATGTGGCTGAGATTTCTGCATCTGGAGAATCAAAGGCTACTCAAGGTGAAGAAGAACACTATAGAGGCTTGACTTGGCTTTTTGTATAATCACTGTTCCCAGGAGTTTAGGTGAGTGGGAAGGGGTCGACAAAAGGATAAGTTAATCAACATTTTCAAAAGCGCATCTGTTCACCAAGCCTTCAAGAAAGAATGGCACACTGGGGAAAATCCAAATAAAGGGAACATTTGTACAAAAAGCAATTTACTTTGATAGCAATTTTCTCTAGTCCCCTTGCTATTATTCTTGATATCTGTGTTTGATTAAGGGCTTTCTTTCTTAAAAGCCCCTTTGCCCTTCACAGGCCACTTTTTCTGTTAAGCCCAGTAGGTAAAACTGAGCCTGATTCCTCAGGATGTTGGCAGGAAGAAGTGTGCCCATCCCACCAGGTCCCTGTAGTTCTAGCTAGAAAAGGCAGGGGTAGAGAAGAGGGAGAAATGGTGAGCTCAAGGCACAGAGGGGAGGCAGCCCTGTCCTGATAGCAAAAGACAGCCAAAGCATGTAGGGACCAGGACTTGGAATTGAATTGTATTTTTCTTTTTTGTAAAGGACAAACTTGGAGAGGACCTTCCAGGACTCTGGTTCAATGGGTGGGTGTGTCTGTGAGTGGGAGATGGATGAGGGAGAGTGGAATGGGCCACGCCTATAGGATAACACAGATCAAGAACAAATCTTACCACCCACACGACTTCAACTTTCAACCTTTGTTCTCCCATAACCTTATTTCCTCTGGGACCCCTTGTGGACTCATTCTCAGGCCAGTTTGACTCCAAAGCCTGAATTCTGACTCTCAGTACTGTGTTAGGGACAGTGGAGGCCTCCCACCCCCACCCCAGGTCTGCCCACGAGTTCTTTGGGGGTAGGCAGGACACTGCGATTACCGCCATATCATCACTACCCTATTCCAACAGGGTAGTAACGGACCCTAGTTGACTGGCTACACTCTCTGACTGTTGGCCTGCATCATCGGCTCACTACCTTATGGGAACCCAGGAGGACTTCTCCTGAATGTGAAAATATGATTTGAAATTTGAGGCTCATGTCTTCCCCGATAGGCATTACTCAGAGGGGGAAGGCTGATTTACCTCGTTCTTCCAAGGGCAGTCTTCATTAACCAACCAATCAACCAATCATCACTTATAAAAAGGACTTACACGGTGCCTAGGAACTGCACCGAGGACTTTGAAAAATGAAGTATGGGACGTGTCTACAATCAAGGCCCTTCAGCATGGTTGGGAAGCAAAGTCCTGTCCATGCCAGAACAGCAGAAAAGAAATCGGGGCATTGTAGAGGGGACTCCAAGTGCTGCTGGCGTCAAGGGTGGGGATCAGACACATGAGGCTGGACCACTGCCTGGAAGGAAAACATGTGAGCGGAGAAGAGGATGCTTTGGAACTGAGGCTGCTGCGAGGTAGGGTCTGGGGAGTTCTAGCTCCTTTATCGGATAGATAGGGATGGTTTCAAACATGTCGCCTGAGCCTTTTCACTCCTCTGCGGATCCCCCGGTTTGGGCTTGAATTCACTTTTTTCTGATCCATTAAGGAATTCAAAGAGGTTGCCACGTCTGGTTGCAAATCTTCCACCTGGATTTCCCTTCTCGAGAGTCAGGTCTCTGTTCCTCCCCTCCACCAGCTGCTGTGAACCAGCACAGTGAAAGGAAGAAGTGAACTCATGCAGGGCTGGAAAGGAGTTCCATTAAGAGTTTAAGTAACCAAGTGATCAGAGTAGCCTCCGCTTAAAAAACAATGCAATGCAACAAAATCTGGTCGTTTTCATATTGTGATGGAAACCTTGGCTGCAGAGTCCCATTTCCCCAGGAGCCCCTTTCCTTAGCACCATCAAGAAGTGGGTTAGGCATACAGTGAAGAGTGATTCAAGGTCTCCCCCATCTCCTCTGGTCCTGATTTTTCAGGGCAAGAGGTCTGCAGGGGCTTGTTATGAGAACATCCACTCACTGTTCCAGAAACTCTCTCCACCCTAGAAGAGTCACAGATTTTCAAGTCTCCTTGTCAATAAATTGCAACATTATGGCACAAAAGGTTGAACGGCCATACCTGGTCACAAACCGAACCCACTCTAAGGAGATGTGTTGTTCCCTGCGGGGTCTGGAATGCTGCCTGGTCAGACCACACACGCTATGCAGGGGAAACACCAACACGCCAGCCTGCTGTCGGGGAATTCCCCACCAAGCACGGTCTCTCTCCGTCTTCCCTTCCCATTCTCTCCTTCCCCGCCTTGTGTGCACATACGCACACGCACACACGCTTTATCTTCCTCTTTCCCTCACTTTCTTCCATTTTTTTCCCTCGTAAATGAAGGTTCTTTGGGGTCAGAGACTGCTTTTCTGCAGTTACTCATAGAAAACTTTCCACCTTCACTTTCACCACTTCTGCTAAGCTGTGGTCTCCTGCCAGGGTATTGGCATTGACGTTGTTCTGTTTACTTTCTGCATCGTAAAAGGAGCTTCACAGGATCGCTAAGGGAGGGATAAGTCGACCCCAAACCACTGTTTCTTTTCAGATAAATGATCTATGACAGCCCATTCCTGGGTCGCTTGAATGTAGATTATTTCAGGATACCAACACGCTGGTTTTCTATGAAGAGTCCCTTCCACGCCAACTCCAAGCAATGGATCAAGAGGCCTGGTTGAAGCCTATGACAGGTCTGCCCAGCAGGGTGTCAGCTCTGCTCTGTATCTGAGGGGAAGCACCATGGGCTATGGAGGAGCACTGACTGCACTGGGAACAGGCTGCCTACTTCTTGTCTGAGTTCGGTGACCCGCCCCAGGTGTGAGAGCCTGGGTGAGACCCTCTGAGTCTCAGTTTGTTCTTCTGTCAAGTAACCATTGGCATTCTCCCCTGTTCTAGAATTCTATGACTTATGAGAAGAAAATGAGAAAG